CCCCCCCCCCCTTTTATTAATATAGAAGAAGATGGGGATTGTATGGATGTTGTTCTGGAGTTAAGCAGACACCGGGGTTACCTGTTACAAATATAGTAATAGTGTAGGGTTGTTTTGCATTAGCTTTTCTAAATAAGATTTCTTCCAAATAGTGTTCCTGAATCTGTTTTGGAAACCTCCTTTATCGTTGGATGGCTGCTCTGAGTTTGTCAATACTTCCCCTTTCCTTCATTCCTGACTTTCTGCGTTATTTCCTTTCTTTTATTCCCACCGTACCACCAAGATTTGCTTGGAGGCCACATGTATTTGGAAAATGGAGGAATAATCCTTTAATGGTACAAAAAGGTGACTTCAGTTAAACAGAGAAGGGAAGAAAATAGAATGAACACAAGGTATAGAAAGTATAGGGTGATAACAGGAGGAGAAGACGTGTAGCAAAGCAAAGTTAAGATACATAACTAATTGTAAGTAATCCAAAAGCCAGATCATGTTTCCATTATAGTAAGTGAAAAATCTGTAGAAGGCATTCTTGATCAACCATTATTTTGTTTTTGGGTTAATCCTGTTAGTGGATCAGGAGAACATGCCGTAGTGGAAAGTAATTTTCCTGAATTGCAAACTTTAAAATATAACACAATAGGATTTTGCAAAATAGTACTGTTTGGCTTAAAATAACAGACCTCACGTATAGAAATACCTAAGCTATATTGAAAATGGACAATGTTGTTTTTTCAGATAACAAAGCGGACAGCAAGGTTGGTTGCTGAATGGCAGTGTGTTGGATTTTGCCATGGTGTTCTGAATACAGATAACATGAGCATCGTAGGACTTACTATTGACTATGGCCCTTTTGGGTTTATGGACAGGTCAGTATGGCATAATGATCTGAAATGCTCTGCAAAATCTGACTATTTTTGTTTCTTTTCAACTTTCTTTTAAATGGATGTATGAACCTTATTTGTAATAAGGACAATTAAATTAGCTGTAATTATCCTTCATTTATTTATGGTTTTTTTTCTAATCTCTACTTGTCTTATCTCTGTCTAGACCAGCAGTACTTAAGCCTGGCCAGATCCAGCCCCTAGTGTCGTATCATCCAGCTAGCAGGGCTCCTCACAGGTCTGAAAATGTGGTGGCTGGGGGAGTGGTAGCACTGCTCCCCTGTTGCCAAATTTCTGGACCTCTGGGGAGCCTTGGGGCCCTGTGTGCTAGATCCAATGCACAGGGATGCAGGGCACAATCCTTGTATGCAGGCTGGAGAGGGGTGGACCTGATTCTAGCAGGCAGGGGCCAGCCAAGTCCCCATAAGGCCTGATCTTGGTGTGTGGGGCTCAGTCTGGCTTGCAGACATGCCGTGTTCCACTCATTTAGCCCATGGGGTCAAAAGCTTGAAGACCACCAATGTAGACTGTTTCTCCTTTGGCATTTATTTTGTCTTTGAAAGGTTTTGGGTCAGGTCTGGATTAGCCAAAGAACAGCAGGGGAAGAACTTAGACGAATGCTTAGATGAATAATTAGGGAGAAATGTCATAACTAGCAGCACTATTCCTTTTTGGAATTTCTAGTGTCCTAAAGGATCTAACCAATTAACTAGAAGAATGCTAACCATTTCTTTGTTTGTAGATATGACCCTGAGCACATTTGCAATGGTTCTGATAATACAGGACGCTATGCTTATAACAAGCAGCCAGAAATTTGCAAATGGAATCTAGGGAAGCTTGCTGAAGCTTTAGTCCCTGAATTGCCCTTGGAGATCAGCGAACTCATTCTGGAAGAGGAGTACAATGTAGAATTTGAGAAACATTATTTGCAGAAGATGAGAAAGAAGCTAGGACTCATTCAGCTGGAATTAGAAGAAGATAATAAATTGGTATCTGAACTCCTAGAAACTATGCATCTCACAGGTTAGTGAGGAAAAAGAATATAATGTGCAATCAATTTTACCTAATAATGTGAACATTTAAAAAATAGTTAACAAGAGACTAGTTTTCTCTTAAACACAAACAAAAATTGCTTCAAAAGTTTTATTATATTTAAAGAAACAAATTGGATCACAAACCTCAAGTTAAAGCTACACAGTCATATTTAATCTTTCAAAACAAATATAATTGTGGGTTTGGTTTTGTTTTAGGTGGAGACTTCACAAACATTTTCCGGTTGCTGAGTTCTTTCTCAGTAGATGTGGATTTTCTTAAATTTGAGGAATTTCTAGAAAAAATTACCAATCAGTGTGCTTCCATGGAAGAATTGAAAGTTGCTTTCAAGCCCCAGATGGATCCAAGGTACAAATTAAATAAACAATCATTTTTTTTATTGGGGTTTTCAGACATCTCCATAGTATTGTTAATTTTTGTTTGTTTTTAATGTTTAGGGTAGTGTTAGAATGATGTTGTAGCCGTGATAGTCCAGAAATTATGCAAGAGGCATGGGTTTCTTAGGGTGATATTTTTTTATTGGACCAACTGCATAGTTGGGATAGAGTTAGACACGCTTGCAATGCAAGAGATTTTTAGTATTGAAAACATACCCACAAATTAAGTGTGATGTATACAGTGGCAGTACACATTCTCTGTTACCCTGTCAGAATTTCTAGGCCTGTGATTAGAGGGCATATCTTTTTTCCCCCCACCACACTTAGCTTCTCTGCTGAGGTCAGCCAGGGTTGCCTAATTTGGTAGTTCTGAGATGTATTTCGCTAATAACTAGATTTAAACCACCAAATAAATGTGTCACATCCTGCCAATAATCTTTAACACCCTGTGCTAAATATTCTGTATACTTCCCCAGAGACATCCAGTTACCACTTCTAGGGCCAGATTCACTAGTACACAGCTGTTCTGCACTCTTCTGGTAGCACAGAGCAGCTGTAAATCTGTTGCATCTGGCACTTACCTTGGGATTACCAATGTGCTGCATTACTGGAGCAGTGGAAAACAGAGACTCACTAAGAGGTGACCCTTACATTTCTTGCTTGCTCCTAGTATATTTTTATGGTAGATCTTGTACATCTGTTTCAAGGCTCTTACTCCCTTTCCCCCCATTTAGCAGATATTATGTCGATTACAAAACCATTTACTTAGCTTTAATTCTTTTCCTCTAGGTACTGATACTGGAATTGTCAATCTGAGTAGAAACCATAACTGTAGAGCATAAGTAAGAATGCTCACACATTTTGCTGTCCTGACAAGGTGATGATAGTTGTATATCAGTTTTTAGGTGGTGGCGTTGAGTTAAATTTCAATTGAAGTGTGGTAAATTAGAAACAAAAATGGGAAAAAATCTAAGAAGTTAGTTATTTCTTACTAAATCAAGCTTCAGTTTGGATCTTCACTTTTAGAATGATGAATATGTGTCTTGCTATATGGACATATTTCATTAAACAGCTGTGGATGTGGCAGTCCTTTTGGGATACTACATTCAGACTTTGAACATAAAAATGAATAAAGCCAAATCAGTACAGAAATAAAGGTTTTTTGTGCAGTACTGTATTACACTGAGTGTGACAACTATTGTACACTAACACTTAAATGCCATAGTGTGCGTTAGATGCATAGATGAGAATTGAAGAGTAAGTTATTTGGAGGAAAAATCAAGTCTTCTAGGTAATGAGCTGTCCTTTAGTTTCTGGGAGAGCAGGGATGGTAGGACCTCATGTCTTTTTAGCTCCTTTCTGTAAATGAATTGATTTGATTTACAAAGTTTATTTTAGATGACTTGGTTGATGCTGCATGGAAAAAGTAGTGTTTAAAAAAACCAAATATCTTGCTTGTTTAGACAGTGAGGTGGAGAAGTTGATTGAACCTAGTATTCAGAATGCTGTAAAACTCTTGGACTGTTAGCCTGAGCTTGAAAGCTAATCAAAACAATGCCAAAACAACTTGGATGTTAAAGGACCCCATTAGTAAAAGTAGTAATTTCCATCCTATAATTTTAACAAATTATCCCTAGTTAATGTCATTGCCACTTTATTTTTAGCAGAATATATTAAAGCCATTATGCACTAAATTAGCTAGGGGTATCTTGCCCAGAATCACTTCTAGTACAATTGGTTAATATATAACAAGTCTGTGATTTTATTAATTTATGGTGTGATTAGACGATAATAACAGTATGTTGATACCCAGTTTTTCCTAAAGCTTTCTCTTGTCTAGATGCAGTATTTGTATTATTGCACTGTCATGCCTATAAGTATACCCCTCCTCCCCACAGTTAAGGGTGAAATCCTGTTAGAGCTTTCACTATACAAAAATACTGAACTGAGATTTTTCAAAACTGCCTGAAGCTTAGACAGTTTTCAGTAGCTTCAATGAGGATGGTTCATCTAAATCCTCTGGGGTTTTAAAAACCTCAGGTTTACAGTCTAGACTTCACATAACGCTACGAGTGAATAAATGGGAGTATGAGGGAAGAGTGAAATGAATGTATTCTTATCATGGTTTGTTGCATGCTGTACTTACACAGTAAAGACTAAATTGCTGGGGGAAAAACAGCATACACTACAAAAAGCCAGTCCTTACCTGTCAATTAACTGATTTTTTTTTCCCTCTTATCTCTAGACAACTTTCCATGATGCTGATGTTAGCTCAGTCTAATCCTCAACTGTTTGCTTTAATTGGAACAAAAGCTAATATAAATGAAGAATTAGAACGCATAGAGCAATATTCTAAATTGCAGCAGTTAACAGCAGCTGACCTACTCAGCAGAAATAATAGACATTGGACAGAATGGTTGGAGAAATACAGGTGAGATTTATTAAATGGTGAGTTTGTTCCATTTGTGCTCCATTACACTTATGGAGCAGCAGTGTATATGACCACTAAAAAGGATTAGCTCACTGTTGGTAAAATGCAGAATCTGGGATGATAGGCTGCAACAGGGGATTGGTGTCCCATTTTCTTTGCAGGCCGTAGGTTGCTGGCCTCTGGTCTGGAACAATTAGAAGACTGAACTACCACAGGCTAATCTGTGGTACTATGAATGTTAGAATAATGTATGTACATGCTTAATATGTTTATCCTTCAGAAACCTTAAAACTTAATTAGCATTAAATCCAGCATGGCATTACTACATTTAGGTGCAATCATGTGCAACTAGTGCCTCCTGATACTGGGGAGGCACCAGTGGCTGATTGCTGACCAAGGTGGGGTGTCCCCCCTGGGTACTGGTGGCCAGTCGCTGCCACCAGCACTTCTCTCTGCACCTCTACAATCTTGAGGGGGGCACTGGCCAGTGAGAGCCAATCTCAGAGGGGGGCACATGCCCCCCCTCCTCCCATTTCCCCCTACACATTGCCAATGGGTACAATCAAAAATTTTGACTTTAGGGTCTAGTGTATATCTTGCATATCTATTGCATTATGGTAAAGCAAGATGCAAACACTTCAGCAACAGAAGTAGTTCTGTTTAAGAGTTGGTGAGGGGTAACTTAAGGCAAAACAAAATGTGGAGGTCCAGTCACTGTTCCACTAAAACAGTGATTCTCAGCTGTGGTGCTGTGAGATCCTTTCAAGGGTGCCATGTAATATTAGCACTGTCGGGTTTGTTAACGCTATTCACAAGGTAAACCCAAAGATTTCAAATAGGAAGCCATAGTCTTAAAAAATTCTGACCTGTTGTGGACTTTGAGTTCTTTGCAACAGAAGGATTGCTGTCTCTTTCTATAGTCAAAAAAATAAGTGAAAACTAAGGTAGTATTTTCCAGCAGGTGCCTTGAGTCTAAGGAGGCTGAGAACCACTGTACTAAGCCAACCTAGCACTTCATGGAAATATAAAAAAACTAAGCCAACTGAAAATTCTTTGTAAAGACTTACATCTATGTAAGGGAATCTCCATTGGCAGAGAGCTCATGGAGAATGTTGTAGCTGCCTTCCATTATTAAGTTCGGATTCCTGTTCTCACTTGTGCTGGAACCTTGTGACTTTGTCTGTCTGTCTGTCTGATTTATTTGTAGCCAGAATTAGTATTACTTAGGTAGAACCAATTGCTTCTAGTATATTCCATCTCTACCCTTTTATAAGTACCCAAGAGACCTAGGCAATGGAGTGCTTAGAAAAATGCTTGGAGAAACATGTGCTGTAATTAAAGAAACTAAGGTAGCATGATTATTAAACAGATTTTATCTGGCCAGATTTTAAATAAGCAGTGATGTTTTCTAAAAATTTGAAGTCTCCAGGAAACATGTCTTTTGGTTGTCTGTTGCTTTGCAGTGGCTGAACTTCAAGAGCTAACTTCTGATGAACTATGAAATACATTCTTAAATGCAAGGGATTTGTTTTGTTTTTTTCGGGGGGGGGTTAAGCCAAGTACCATATTAACTTGAATCTAAGATGACCCTCCAATAATTAGATTATGTATACATGGACAATTTCTAATTTAAAAAAAAATTTTTTTTCCATGTTTTGAATCTAATTATTGAAGGATCACTTTTAATTCATTCCCCTGCCACTGCATGGGGGCAGGCAGTGAGGAGGCAGGTGACATGGGGAGGTCAAGGAGCTTGCCCCTTGCTTGTGTCTGCCCCTTCCCAGCCTCTGCTCCTCCTTTTCCTCTCCCCTCCAGCCTCTCCTCTTTGCATTCATCCTCCCCTTCACCTTTCTTCTACATCAGCAAGCTCTGTCCCCATTCTAGCCTGGGGCATAGAGCATGGCCCCAACCCAGCCTCCAAAGCAGCGATGTGTGCTGCTGCTGCTACAGAGCCGTGCTCAGTGACCCAGGTTGCATCATAGAAAGGGGCCTTCTGGCACATACCAAAGGTAAGGAGGGGTTAGAAAGGGGCAGATGGGGAGCAGAGGCTGTGTGGTGGGGGAAGGGAGGCAAGAGGCTGTTGGTGGGAGGTGGCAGGCGGATGGCAGCTGTTGCTGGAGCCTGAGCCACAGCAGTCTGTCCCCACCCCGTCCTTGTATTAAATTCTAAGACGGGCTTCCCCCCATGTTAAATGGGGAAAATAACCTTGTTTTAGAAATAACAAAATTTCTAAATCAGTATTTCGGATTATAGCAACAGGATTTATAGGCAATGTTTTCAACATCTTTGGTTTGCAGGTCCTTGTATTATGGGAAAATAGACCCAGACCATTTGAACCAAATAAACCAAACAGAACTCCCAGTTTGTTTCTGCTTGTTTAATTTCAGAGCCCGCTTAGAAAAAGAAATAGAAAATGTTAGTGCTATTGATACCTGGAATGCTGAACATGTGAAAGTTATGAATTCAAACAATCCAAAATATATTTTGAGAAACTACATTGCTCAAAATGCCATAGAAGCAGCTGAAAATGGTGACTTCACAGAGGTACAGTATTGCTATTTACCATGGCTTTATAATGATGGACATGATAGCCCCTATTTTCCAAATGAAAGCCAGGAATGTAACGTGACAGTCCGGGTTAGTTTTGAAGGGGAGGTGGTGTAGTGATTCAAACTAAAGGAAGGGACCAAGAAATTCCTTAATTCCCACTCCCAGCTCCTGTTCCAGAGTGGTTTGTGGCCCGGTTGTATGGTGTAGAATGAATACTTGCTTTCCCCATCTGTCGAGTAGATGCTTGTTTTCCAGGAGTGTTGGGAATTCGTTTGTACTTCTTGTACTGTTAAAAGTGGTGCCTTAATATTTGGGTACCTACTAATTTTGATAATATTTCAATGGTAATGTAAGTATAGTTTAAGATGATAAGCGTCTCATTTAAACAGAGTGCCATAATGATTCAGAACCTATAATGTTTCACATGAATCTATTTTCAGACTACTTGATATGTTTATTTCACCATGTTCTTTGATCTGTGGCTCAAACTTCATACATAGCTAATAACTAACGGTTATTTTGAACCTCTTAACATTTCAGTTCTTGCTTTCACCCTAGGTAAGAAGGGTGTTGAAGCTGTTGGAGGATCCATTCCAAGAGACAGAAAGTTTCAGTGAGGTACAGGAAGAGCCAGAAGAGGAAGAAATAGTTGCTGCAGCTGCTGCTTGTGCTGAAGCGACCAGAAGCAAACCTCCATATTGCAGTAAACCTCCCATCTGGGCTTCAGAACTTTGTGTCACGTGATCTTCATAATCGCCTTGTTTTTGCTTTCACTGCAGATGGAAGATTTTGATCTATCTTCAGCAGTGGGGGATCAGCAAGGCAAAGGCAAAGTACTATTAAGTCAGTGAAACAGTTCATTTGGATGTGCCTGCAACTACATTTTAGCAGTGCTTATTTTGAAGCAATCATGGATCATAGGTTTAATAGATGAAAGACAATCAGCATCCATATACACCATTTGCTTCATGAATGACTTTCCTTTTCCTCACCATATTACAAGTAGAAAGTGGTATTTCATGTTTGGGTGCGCACAGTTTTGAACGTCCAAATTCAACTGTTTTTATGTGAAGACAAAAATAACAAGTCAGAAGTCTGATCTATTTTTGTCTGATTTTGACCTAATAGTACTTCCAAAATGTGTTTAATGCTTTTACTATGCAGGGAAGTTTGATCCTCTGTAATGGAGGAATAGGCTTGTTACTGCTTATTTGAAGCTATGTTTCATTTAATTGACTAGTTCATTTTTTGTGAACCTTTTGATTGATGATGATTTTTTTTGAATATTTGTGCAGGTTAGAGTGTAGGGGAAGGAACCAGAGGGTCATTTATTATAAAATGCAATATGAAGAGCAGAATCAGGGGAAACTAAATGCATTGCATTTGAAAATCTTGGCAGAAAACATTATGCAACTTCTGTATGTTTGTGTATGATATACACATCTAAATAGTTTTTTAAAAACATTGGATTGCAACTTGTAAGCCAATTGACTTAAACAGGCCATTTAACCAAATTAGTTTGTTCCCTGTAAAGTACCCAATAGAGGTTCATTATCTGCTTATGCAGTTGACATGATTTCTTCTGACATTAAAGTGGCGGATATGGGCTTATTCATTCTTCATTATTCAGCAAGATTCTTGTATTTCTACTTTTCCAATGTAGTCTTCCACCCATCACATATGGTCCCTACAAATGTTAAACATGGAAGTTGCCTTTCTAGTGTTGCTGAAGCGTGGTGCTTTCTGGGCATACACAAAGGATTCCCCCTCCCCTCTTGCTAATGTTATGCAATTTAGGTTCTGTTTTAATATTTTTATTTATATCAAGTGAACAGCATTTAACTCTGAGCTTTTCCTACTGAACTACCAGCCTGCAATGTAAAGCTGTTCCTTCTTAATACAGAGCATTAAGGGACCTGATGAAGTAGGTGTTTCTGACTAAGCATAAACCTAATAGCAAAAATGTGTTTTAGACATTAAAACAGTTTTGGGCACCGTTAATATCCTAAATTTAGTTTTTAGTCCAAAGCGTAGTAGTTGAAATTATTATTTTTAAAGTAATATTTAAGTGGCGATTTATTTAGAACTTAATGTACACACATAATTATGCAAATACTAGTGGAAAATAAAGCAAAGCAAATTTTAAATAAATATAAGTGTTTGGTGGGGAGAAAGGGGAAGGAGTGATGGCAAGGATAAGAAACAAACATCCTTAATAATTTTCACTTAAAATTTTTAGCCAGCTCATTGCTTGGAGAGTTCTCAATCTGAACCTTATCATAGTAAGATTTTTCCATCTTGTTACAAAAAGAGAAGGCTTCCCATACCAGTAAGTAGAAGAATGCTGAAAATGTACATAGGTTTG